TGACTCCAACCTTGGACCAACTTACACTGCTCATTCAAAGACAGAAAATCAGAAAATGCATAATTACTCTGTAACAGACCTTAACATGAATTCTAACTTTGCATGAGGATTAAAAATCATTATTACTGTTTCACAGTTAATAAAAATGATTAGTTCACTGCAGCATCTAAAATGGTTTGAACTAAAAACACTTTGATTATCAAACATTTGTAAAATAGTAATGATAATAAAAAAGAGAGTGTTCTTTCACTTGAATTTTCAAGAAAGAAAGTCTCAGGATGGGTCAACCTGTATTTCTGGATTCAAATCAATGAAATGACAGCTTCTGTCCCATATGGTCCTTAAGGTCAAAGTTTTTGACATCAGGCCTAGTTCACTACAAATATGGGGGAAAAAATCCATAAATACTGTATGTTGCTTCGGCCTATAAGTTGCAGGGCACGTAAATTATGCAAAAAACTGTGACTTATAGGCCGAAAAATACAGTACATTTTTATTTTGTTTCCCGATGTAAGACTGATCACAGCCCTCCTGACACTGAACAGCATACACAACATTACTCTGTTTGTGCCGGGGGACTGGATCTTTGGGATGAACCAGTCTTTGCCGTAATGTATTTTGGGGTTTAAAAGCCACTGGGACGTTATGTTTAGAAAATAAACGTCTCAGTTTCTCTGATACTCCCTCAACATACGGAATGACCACTGGTCTGGGTCTGGGTTCCTCCTTTTCACCTGATGGCTGACTGGAGTCCTGTTTGGGTTTCTTCTCTGCTTTCAGGAAGGCCCAGTTAGGATGTCTTGTGTAGGATTTCTCCTTCTGCCTGGCTCCTGAGTTAGTGGGGATGCTGTCTGCTCTGTGATACAGAGTCCTGATGACTCCTAACTTGTGCTCCAAAGGGTGATGGGAGTCAAACTGCAAATACTGGTCTGTGTGGGTGGGTTTGCGGTACACCTCAGTTTGCAAATGGCCTCTATCAGAGACTGAGACCTCACAGTCCAAGAAAGCCAACCTGCCATTTTTTACATCTTCTCATGTGAACTTGATGTATTTATCCACAGAGTTGATGTGGTCAGTAAAATGTTGGACTTCCTGAAGTGTCATCAACATACCTGAACCAATGACTCGGTGGTGTCCCTGAAAAGGACACCAAGGCTCTCTTCTCTACGTCCTCTATGTACAGGTGTGCAACAATAGGAGAATCATGATGTAAATTCTTTATGTTCTTCCCTCCCCCATCTAGTCCATCCAATCATTCTACGCTTCACCTTCATCTTTAAGTCCACTTTGTTCTCTGTGTCTTGGTGTACCAATGACATGTAATGACAACGGACCAGGCGCAGATCAATAGAGGAGTCCTTAAGGGCTGCCTGGCCTTGACAGACAGAGGCCACTGTTGATAGCTGGATGACACGGACACCATAGCCCATTGGAAGGACAATTTAGAGTGTGTGTGGGGTGGGGTGCAATTTTTCAGATTAGTCTACAACCCACTCATCAGTCATGACCCACTGATTATGTGCTAATGACTGCTCATGTGGTTGTGTAAAGTGGGTGATGGCTGTATTTTTTTCTGGCAATCAAAGCATTTACAGTTTCCAACAAGTGCAGCATAAACAAACAAGACGCACAGTCTCTCTTTTTAATTGTCCTTTGACATTTTTAACAGTCTTGTGATGCATGTACTGTAAATCCAATGGTGCCACAAGGAGAAAACAACCTGAACGACAAAGATCAGGACAACCCCAAACAGAGAAACCTATTTAAAAGTGGATCGTTAAATGTGATTCAAAGGTCTGAGATGACAAGCACCAGATGCCAGTTACATTACCTCTAAAACAGAAGAACTTAACCGGAGGATCTAGAAGGTGAAAAGAAACTAGAAGAGGGTGGTGACACGGGAGCCTTCACTCAAAGAGAAATAATTTATTTCATTGTGATATTAAAATCAATAGGCATCGATTGAACAATGGCTAAAGGTGAAGGCGTACATGATCCTTCAGCTGTGAGAGGCAGACTCTACAAAAGAGGGGATTATACTGTATATATATCTATATATATATATAGATATATATATGAATAGACAGAGAATGATGGGAAATAAGAAAGTCGTGCAAAGAGGAAGACGTCCCCTCGTAGTTAACAAAATGGAAGTGAGAAAATGATAAAGAAGAAGAGAAAGAAGGAAGAACGAGAGTGAAAGGAAAGGGGTGAGGGAGCTCCTGCTCAGTGGAATCAATACAGAGAGGAGGAGCAGAGTAAAAAAAAGCCTCAGAGGAGGGCAGATTCAGTGGTGCAAGTCTAATACTTTCACTCAAACACACACACACACACACACACACACACACTTACATACATTAACACATACATACTCACCCTCACCCTGAATACTTTTTTTTGGTTGCTTTTGCCATCTCCTGACATTTCCTTCGGTATCTTTCTACAATATAATTTCTTCCTCTCTTTCTCTTATCTTGCACATTGTATTTGTACCCCCCCCCCCCCCACACACACACACACACACACACGAACACAATAGGAAAGTCTATAGAGGAATGCAAAGCAAAGTAAAGGCCTTTTGTTCGCTACACAATCATCAAATTCAGATGCTGAAGTTAACGACTGTCCAGACCTCTACATTGGAGAAACTAAACAGCCTCTTCACAGACGCATGACTCAACACAGGAGAGCCACCTCCTCTGGACAAAATTCTGCAGTTCACCTCCACCTCACAGATAAGGGACATTCTTTTGAGGACCAAAATGTGCACATTTTGGACTGAGAACACAGATGGTTTGAGAGGGGGGTGAAGGAAGCAATTTATGTAAAAAGAGAAAAGCCGTCTCTTAACAGAGGAGGAGGCCTCAGATTCCCACTTTCAAAAACATATAATGCAACTTTAAGACAGATTCCCAGCCGGTTTTCACACCTGATGGGAACAGAGGGGCCTCGACTGTGAATTAGAGGAACAAAGACCTACTGTTTAGGTGTTTAGGTGTGAACTGCCAATCTACATATGTGTGTGTGTGTGTGTGTGTGTGTGTGTGTGTGTGTGTGTGTGTGTGTGTGTGTGTGTGTGTGTGTGTGTGTGTGTGTGTGTGTCTTATCCCACTCAGCCTTATAACCTGTATCTCTCACTCTCTGCTCTTTGAATTGAGAAAGCTCCTCGGATGAGGAGCGAAACGTCTTCTGTTACAAATAAAGTCCAGTTGTTTTTGTATTGAATGCTTTTTGAATTCATCATGTCCTGGATGACTGAGAATCTTCACCAGCATATTAACGACTGTCACGTACATACAAAAAAAATTGTATGCATGCAAACCACAAACAGTTCATTTGTTTCTAATGCTAGTGTAATTTGTGAACACACAAGACAGAATCATAGGGTCTTGACTGCCAGAAGAGAGTGGCCTATGAACACCTCAACACCCACACATTCACAAAAAGAGCACTCCGACAACTTCAGCTCTATCAACACTCCACACTAGTGAGGGTTCAATTAGTTCTTGATGAATGAGCCCATAAGATGCCGCCTTGTTGCCAGATATCCCAGCAATCAGAAAAAATGAATTCTCACTGTGGCATGAAACAAAGATGATGGAGGTGAAGAGTGGAGGAGCAACTTAAGAGGGGGAGGGGACACTTAGAGAAAAGTATATTTATTCACTGCAGGTCAGAAGAGAGTTTATAATATTAAACATTTTGTATGACAGATGGGTGCTGTTCAACAGCAACCAAAAACTCTCAGTTATGCAGTTTTCAAACACACACACACACACACACACACACACACACACACACATAT